AGAAATAATAATAATAATAATAATAATAATAATAATAATAATAATAATAATAATAATACTAATAATAATAATAATAGTAACAATAATAATAATCATCATCATCATCATCATTATAATACTAGTATCATTATTACTTATAATAAAAATGATAACAATAGTAATAACAGCATCTGTATAGCCAATATCCCAGATCAGCAGTAAGCTCTTCCAGCTTTACACTATGTTATTACTCCAGCAGACCACAGAACACTCAGAAACATTCTTGGCTACCTGGGAAGTATACAGTACAAGCAGTTGATAAGGCGCTAAAATATTAACAAACAGACAAGATCTTCCGCTGTCTATAGCTGTGTACCTATTCCCACCTGGGTGAAGTGAGGAAAATTTGTGTAAAGTGCCTTTCTCAAGGACAAAACGTCGGGCCCCTGGTGAGATTTGAACCGACAATCATACCATTGCTGTACGAGAGCTGTACGAAAGCTGTACGAGAGCAGAACTACTAAAGCTGAAACACATTTTAAAAAGACTTCTTCGAGAAAAAGTAAATGAATCCATACCACTAAAGATTTTTTTGGGTGACATTCATGTTGACTTTCAAGGCAAAAGGAAAGTTATATAACTATGTCAACTTCATCATTTTTGAACTCATTAATAAAACTATTATCATTACTATTATTATTGGTCTAGAGAAACACTTTATAATAAAAGTTTTCTCCTCCCTTAGGATCCGACCTCAAGTCTCCTGCCAGCGACAGCAAAGCACCTAGCCTCTGCATCACAGACAGGGGTTTTTGTCAGTTTTTCTTATTTTTCTTTTTCTTTTTTCTATTAACAAAAATTGACCAGATTTTGCTAAAGCAAAAACTGCAAAAACCTCTGTTTTTCTCAGCGGCCGACAACTCCCGTCTCCGGGCTGGCTGCTGCGGCTGTGGCTGTGGCTGTGGCTGTGGCTGTGGCTGATGTTGTGCCCTTGAGTGACGCGGCTGTTCCTGCGTGCGCCGACTGGGAGATGCTCCTGAAAAATGAGATGGAAAAAGAAACAAAAAACGATGCACACACAAGGAGGAAGATTTCAGTGATAATAATAATAATAAAGGCATGTATTTAGTGCATATCCATACTCCACAGCATGCTCTATGAGCTTTCCAATTATTACTACCCCAACAGACCCTAGAATACCCGGAAACATTCTTGGCTTCCCGAGAACCAACAGTGTAAGGCAAGCAGCCGATTAAGCGCTTCAAACACTAACAAACTGACAAGATCTTTCACTGTCTTTTGCTGGGTACCAATTCCCACCTGGGTAAAGTGAGGAAAATTCATGTAAAGTGCCTTTCCCAAAGACGCAATGTCAGGCTCCTAATGGGGTTCGAACCCATGACCTTTTGGTTATGAGCCTGACAACCTAACTGCTAGACCAGCAACGCAACTTACCATGGCTGGCTGATTGACTGCCACCAAATCCAAGGTCATTTAGCTGTTCTCTCAGCTCTCTCTCATTCCCATGGCAACTGTTGATAAAAAAAGCAAAACATGCAAGATGGTTTTTAATTTTTCATAAGAATTTTACAGTACTTGCAACACAAATAGGTCTTATGAATGTCGAAGATTAGAGGTGATATTAGTGAATAATATACAAAGAAAAGAAGGAGGAGAGATATGGACGATAGATGATTGACAGGAAAGAAAGAACAAACTACACCAGATCTAGACAGACAGACAGACAGACAGACAGACAGACAGACAGACAGACAGACAGAAAGACAGACAGACAGACAGACGGACAGATGGGACAGAAAGACAGACGGACGGACAGACAGACAGACAGACAGACAGACAGACAGACAGACAGACAGACAGATGGACAGAAAGACAGACGGACAGACAGACAGACAGATGGACAGACAGACAGACGCACAGATACACAGAGAGTGAGAGAGAGTGAGGTACTTACACACGGTAGAGGTCCGCCAACAGCTCTATAGTAGCGCTGGGGTAGTCCCTCTTGAGTTTTTCCAGCACCAGCGCCGATGCGTTTTGCCGATCCATCATGCTGGACTCCTGGTGCTGAGCGACAGCACCAGCCGGAACCGAAAAAAAATACAAAAATACACAGAGACAGTATGAGTATGAGAGACGCACGTAAAACATTGCAGAAACAGAATCTAACGGAAGGCATACAGTCCGGCTTATGGTTCCCGCCCTGGGTAAAACTAGGCTGGATCTTGTGCATTTGACAAAGGTGGACATAGTTGAACCAGGATGGAAGGCATACAAGTCCGGCTTATGGCTCCCGTCCTGGGTAAAACTAGGCTGGATCTTGTGTATTTGACAAAGGTGGACATAGTTGAACCAGCACGGAAGGCATACAGTGGGAGAGAACTTGTGGGGGGCAAGTAGACAGCAGCAGGAGATCTTCAGACGAACCCCCCCCCCCCTCTCCTTCAAGCAAGTGTTTCGTCCCTAACTACCTTCTGTACGCATGGTTGCGTTTCTTATCGAGTTACTCCGTCTGTCTGTTGCGACGTTGTATCCTTCTTGGCCCAGATTGGACCTGGCAGAGGCAGAGTTGCTTGTTTTAGTAAGTTTTACGGCACTTGCAACACAATAAGGTCATATAAATGCCGAAGATTAGAAGTGTTACAAGAGAGTAACAAACACAAAAAAGGAGGTGAGATCAGGACGCTAGTTCAGTTTTAGTAAAGGTTTTACAGCGCTCGCAACTGCATAAGGTCATATGAGGGCCAGAAGATTAGAGGTGTTACAAGAGAGTAACAAACATAAAAAAGAAGAAGGGGAGATAAGGACCATAGATGTTTCAGAGGAAAGAAGAAGCAAACCACACCAGAGCACCCGCCAACCACCCACAGAGGCAAGGTTGAAGCCCACCTCCTACATTATCCAAATTGCGTCAATAAAGGTGTAAAGCAGCTACAATCACATTTTTCCCCCGGCACATATGCCTTTTAAGCACACAATATAAAAATAATAATAAAAACAACAAAATCAGCAATAACAATAACAATAATAATAATAACAACAGTATGAGTATGGCAGAGAGGTTTAGTTTTACTTTTAGTGTCAATAAGTTTTGCAGTCGCATAAGTGTCGAAGATTAGAGGTGTTACTACAAAGTAATGAAGGAAGAGAGAAAAGGGTGATAGCTGGTTTTGTTTGAATAAGAGTTTTACAGTACTTGCAACATAGACAGGTTATCGGAGTGCCGGAGATTAGAGGGGTTTCTAGAGCGCAACATACACTTGAAAGAATACAAGGAGGAGACATAAGAGCGATAGTAGTTTGATAGGAAAGAAGGAGCAGACCACACCGGAGCACCCACAAAAAAATATAAGAGACAGTGAGTATGACAGACCAACGGACTGAAACAGAGAAGAAAGATGATCTAACAGAAGGCATACAAACGACACTGTACATTGCTTGATGCATTTCAACATTATAATTTCATCCCTGTTGCGAGAAAAAGGAGTAAAGGTGCATTCAGTCAGACCAAAGGGCCGCACATGTCTGTCCGTACAAAAATGAAAATCTAGCTGGCCCTGATTGAATCAAATTGTAACGACAGTGTGCACTCGGTACATGTCTAAGCCTGCTACGGACACACACAGAAACATGGGGACAGGGGCCCATAGTATGGTCTGTCGCTAAATTGTTTTTTTAAAAAGGACAGGAAAGCAACAACAAAAATGACTACAGTCTGCCCCTCTGAGTAGAGACTTCGTGATTAACCTACTGGACTAGTACAACAAAAAAAGCCCCACCCCCAGCACCCCCCAAAAGGAGTATTACATTCAAAGCGTTTTACTAATAATAACAATACGATGAAAAATAAATAGCATTTTCAAGGTGTAAAATTTCTGCTCAACAGCAAACTCAGGACTTCAGTACTTAAAGAGGAAATGCATCCAGCAATAAGGTGCAATGAAAACTGCACATCGTAGCAGCCTGTACTCTAGGTCCTTAGTACACACTACAAGTAAGGAAATTATATTGCAGAACTTATCTGACTGACTAGTGTAAAAATCATAAAGAGCTTTGCTCTTTCTCTACCTCCAAAGATATGGGTTTGATTCCACAACAGGAAAGCAAACAAGAAAATGACTACAGTCCACCCCTCTGAGTAGAGACTTCGTGACTAACCTACTGGACTAGTACAACAAAAAAAGCCCCACCCCCAGCACCCCCCAAAAGAAGTATTACATTCAAAGCGTTTTACTAATAATAACAATACAGTGAAAAATAAATAGCATTTTCAAGGTGTAAAATTTCTGCTCAACAGCAAACTCTATGCACTTTACAATGTATCATATTATTACCTGATAGAATTCTGAAACAATCTCAACTTCCTGGGAAGCATACAGTGCAAGCTGCCATTTAACAGGTACCAAAACATTGACATATCGACAAAATTTTTGTTGACTATGGCTGGGTACACATTCACACATGGGTGAATTGAGGAAAATTTGTGGAAAGTTCCTTTCCTAAAGACACAATATTTGGCAGAGCTGAGCCTTGAAACCATGAACCCACAGCCTCACGATTACGAGTCCAACTGCCTGCCTAACAAATAGACCAGGTTTCGTTTCAGGACTTCAGTACTTAAATAGGAAATGCACCCAGCAAAAAGGTGCAATGAAAACTGCACATTGTAGCAGCCAGTACTCTAGGTCCTTAATACATACTACAAGTATGAAAATTATATTGCAGAACTTATCTGACTGACTAGTCATACTCATTGGCTTATTTATCAAAGGGATATAGTCAAATCAAAGAGAGCTTTGCTCTTTCTCTACCTCCAAAGATATGGGTTTGATTCCACAACAGTTTTGTAACCAGGAAACCTACAGAGGTCCTTAGTACATACTTCACAAATGGAAATTATATTGCAAAACATTCAACTTATCACGCAAATCGCTTTATTAATAAAAGGGAAATAGCCAAAACAAAGAGAGATTAGCGCCTTCTCTATCTCCAAAGACTTGGGTTTGAAACCAAAAAAAATAAATTTTGTAAGCCTATAGAGGCCCTTAGTACATACTATACAAATGGAAAGAGTTATACGAACAGGCATATTTATTTCATGGAAAGAGTCAAAACGAGAAGAGCTTTCTTTAAAAAAACTTATACTTTTTCTATCTCTAAAGACGTGGGTCTGTTTGCGACAACAATAATTTTGTAAACCTGAATCCTATAAAGGCACATAAGTGAATAGCTTTTGAAAGTGTCATTGAAGGATGAAATTCTCTGAGAAGTACATTTCATATATATTACCATTTGAAAGGATAGAGATAGTAATTTTGAAATCTGTAACAAAAGGCTTGGATTATCAACAGGATAATTCCATGTTGTGAAGGAAGATAAAACTAAAAGAGGATAGAAGCTGCTATTACTTTCAGACAAATCGGCACTCTGCTAAAATAGCAACACCACGCAGGCTACGGATAAACTGACGACATGGTAGTACGGAAAGAGGTGAAGGATCCTTCACACTTTTAAATTAAACTTGAAATATTTTTACAGAGTCCAATTCCTGGACTCCACGAAGGTAAGCCAAACTGTCATGTTGTATACCGCATACAGAGATGTTCAAGATATTGATCGTGTGAATCGGTACCACAGCCAAGGCAACCTGTCCCAACAAATTCTGCCTACCATCAGCAATAAAGCTGTTGTCAAAATGAATATTAATGTATTTATTTTGCTGTTGATTTTTTATCTATGCGCAATGCACATGTACGAATGTATCTATTCAACTTTTAAAAATAAGTAATAAATTCCTGCTTGTTGTTTGACATATGACGATGTATTTAATGTGACAAGATGTATCATTGTCAGCTTTTTTTTTTTTCTTCATATATGGAAATTCTTTCATGAAAGTAAAATATATATACAACTGAAATTCAATGAAGGCTACAGTATACATTTATATGTGTTTTTAGCTTTCTCTAAAGCCAAGAAAAATGTCCCACAGGGACAGTAAAGTATTATCTTATCTTATCTCAACTTACACGTACATGAGGTAGCTGTCAGGGGTAACTAGCAAACTAACTTCATACCGTTAAGTACCACTTCTGACTACTGTTTATGAACTACAGTCCCCTACTCCGACAGACTCCTGTATAAGACAATCAACTGTACAAACAACCACTTCCCAATTCCCCCCTTGTAGTTTTAAGAATAATGACACAGTCTAAGACATCCACTTGTCAAAGACAATCTCTTTTCTCCTCACCAATGTGTGGCAGTCTTGGACAATTTCAACTGTGCTTTTAACCAACAATTTTTAAGGAGGATCATGTAAAAGACCAATTGTTGGATGCATAAGTTTTAACCTTGTAAATGGTATGTCCTCTAAAGCTTCTACTGCATTTGATCTGAACTTTCCCTTAGTGCCTTTCTAAACATAACAGAGCAAGCTGTTGGAGCCTGTCCAAATTGTTACTTTTTTGCTAAACTTGGACAAGATACAATGACCCTAGCCAAAAGAAAAAAAGAAAACAAGGCACTGCACATTGCCAACCAGCAACGAACAGTTTGTAAAATTTTCAGTATCGGTGTAATATTGTGTATTCATTACTCTTGTACACTTGTGAGTTTAGATATGCATGCAACTATGTATGTTTCTCCACAGGGATCAGTTAAGTGTAATTTATTCATCATTGTATTAAACTCAGAGCGGCCAGAGAAAACACTTTTCAAAAAATTATTTTTTTAAACAGAATGTTGCCATCCATTAGATAATATAATTGAAGCCAGAGCCTCATCAGCTTCATGTGGCATCACTCCCACTTTGAACTCGGCACAGGGCCGAAAAGTCGGGAACAGATACTACACTTTGATCTTAAAGAAAAGGCTGAGAAAGATACAGAAAACACATTACTGTATTGTAAAGAAGAACAAACAAACAAACAAAAAAGCCCCCCCCCCGGCCAATTACATGTTGCTGATGATGGTGAGAGCGACTGCCGGAGTGTGATCGAGAGCGGGGCTGATGATGCGGGGACAACTCTTGCATAGCATGTCCCCCTCGCTCGCTGGGACCGCCTCTGATGCCAAGGGACTGAAAGCGGAGACATAACAAGTGCGGGAGGGGAAGAGAAAAGAAAAAAATGTAACAATGATATGTGTCACGACACAGTGGAATCAGGTGTTCATTAATTTTGGGGCAGATAGTGTTATTGGTGGCATATTAAAGAAGCTTGTTCATCTGTCTTTCTTTTGATGGAAAAAATATCCATCTATCTTGAACAGAAGTTGAGATATCTGCAATTGAAGGAGGTAGGGGTCACCGGATGTCAAAGTAAAATTAGCTAGTAAATGGCTGCCCAAATTCGAGTGTTCTTGCAAACTGCAAATTTACATTATTCTGTCTTTGATCAAAGTTTTTCTGTAAAATACAAACAGAAACAATATTTTGAAATGGACTTAGAGGTTGCTGAGCAAAAAAAACAACAAAAAAAAAAAAGAAAAAAGATAAAAATTGCCCAAAAGGTGCAAACACAGTTTCTTTGGGTTCTTGATTTAGACAAGCGCCTGATTTCACTGTGATGCCACACATATCACTTTATCTTGTCTTTCAGGTTTCGTTTTAGTAAAAGTTTTATTTTATGCTGCTTGGGAAACAAATAGGTCGTATTATAAGTGCTGAAGATTAGATGTGTTACCAAAGAGTTACATACAAAGAAAAGAAGGACGAGAGTGGGTAAATCTTCCAGGTGTTTTTACATACCAACGTTACGTACAAGTACAATATGTTGCCTTTGTATGTGGGTATGCTTATTCAAAATCTCTTCTTTTAAAAAAAAAAAGGATGAATATCATGCACCTTTAATAGTTTATGAATTAAAATGCGTTTCATTACCAGGACTTTCACTTTCATTATATCAGCAGAGCCAAGTGACACAACTCTGCTAGAGAAATAAAACATATTACCTCCAAAAGAGGCATTTTAATTATTTGGCACACTTGTCTACTTTGATTTGTTTGCACTGTAAACAGGAAACCTTCAAGGATACAAGTGAAAGGAAAATCTTAAGGCAGGAAAGGGGGGAAACAGAAAAGAAGTAAACTTGAAAGTTTAAACAAGCTTTACATAAAGGGTATAAAAAAAAATATTTTAAAAAATTCTAGAATACATGTTAACTTATACATAGGCTACCTTAGACAAATCTGTCAGAACAAGAATGCACTTACACCAGTGTAATATTTAAGGTTAAACCATTGGCCTTCATAACTTTTTAAAAAGTGAAATAAACTTACTTAACTAAGCTCGGCTTCAACCCAATGATTCAGTTTTTACCTTTCTAGTTTTTGTTACAAGATTTTGTTTTTAAAATTAAAAGAACACATCAGCTCAAACAACTGCGAGCTACAGGTAATACACTATTTTGAATTTGTTTCTAGTTTACTGAAAGTGGTGGTCAACAACAACAACAATTTAATAAAATTAATAAAACTATGTTGTCTATCAAGAAAATCTTCTGACAAAATAAAAAAAGCTGTGCTACATCAAAATTCAAAAGGAAAAATGAGACATCAGGTTGGATAAATATCTCCACATCTAAAGGCCAAAATCTTAAGCATAATTTTGCAAAAGGAAGACAACTGACTCCCATCACAAAATTTTATTTTTTAAAATACATACTGCAGCGGCTTGGGAGGCATTTGCTGCTGGAGCAGCCGGCTGCGTTGAATACCGAGGATCGTCCCATTGTGTGGTACGCGTCTCATGATTGATGAAGAAACTGAAAGATAAAAGTATTCTGTATATAATATAAACAGTTGAAATTGTCCAAGAAGGCCACTCATCGTCGGGGAGATAAGTGGTTGTCTTAGACAGATGGACGTCTTCGACACTGTCATTATAATGATTATGTAGGGGACCCATCACACCCCCTTTCCACGAAAATTGTCAGATCACGCAGTGGCAAATATGTATCTCAAAAAACAAAGAAAGAAAGATATAAAAGAGGTTTTTACCATCTAGCAAGGCCATTGTCAAAAGAAGCATAGATGAGTATTGCTCTTTACAGTATGTATCTATATAACTCTAAAGGTCTTGTAATTAAATTCCTGCATGTGGTTGAATGATGCATCTGATGTGATATATGTAAATTTTTGTCAGCTTTATTTCTCTTTTCATATTGAATTTTCACGAGAGTAAATTATAATTTAAATTGTTATGTATACCTGCATGTGTTTTTACGGTCCCACACAGCCAAGAAAAATGTCCCTCTGGGATAATAAAGTCTTATCTTATATTATCTTAAATGATGCAAGGGGGAAGTGGGAAGTTGTCGTTTGTACAAGAGGTCAGAGGTGAGTCTCTCAGAGAGGTGGCCAATAGAGCAGGTTCAACTGGATGTACAAATTATTTGACAGTATGCTGTGCAATAATGAACATCACTCGGAAAGGGAATTCTAAAATGAACTTAACAACAAAAACAAAAGAAACCAACATGACCCAACTGTTCAACACTGTCACAGTGTTCAAATACCTCCTGTTTTCACCAACCAAGTCCCATCTTTCTTCTTTCAGGGGACACCTCTGTATATATCTATATCTATATATATATATAAAATATATATACAGTCGAACCTGTGTAAGACGGAATCGCAAGGGAGCCAGATAAAAATTCCGTCTTAGACAGGGGAATTTAGGGGGAGATGGGGGTAGGGGGTTCAAAGGCCCAGCCGGTGGGATCAAGGATCGCTTGTCCGATCGGCAAGCAGTGGTCAAAACTTCACACATCTCAGCTGCTATCCTCTCTGATAATGACATGCGTCAGTCTTACTTATCCAATTACCACCAGTGCTTGCCTTTCATAGGACCTCTGTTTGACCTAAGAAAACAGGAACGTTGGAACATTCCTTTGCTTCCACCCTTATCCCCACCCACCAATGCCACCCCTCACTGCCATCATGTAACAACGATTCGAAGAACTCTTTTCTCGGCTGGCATTGGTCAATCTAATTTCACACCTCTGGCTTCTGGCTACCCAAGAAAGTTTCCGTAGTGGCTCGCAACTCGAGCACTCTCACGGGCAGTCGTGAGATTTCACACTCACACTACACTGACCATCTGCATCATTCAGGGCTCACATGATGGGGTAACATCTACCCCCTTCTCCCCTTCCTCGCCTGGCGGCATGGCCATAGCGTGCGAGTTTTGTTTCAAATCAGGGTGAGCGAGCAAAGCATTTTATACAGGTAATTAAAGAGGGTTATATCAAGGGGGGAGCGGGGAGATTCTGTTAAGACAGGTTTCCGTTTTACACAGGTTTCCGTTAAGGCAGGTTCGACTGTATGTCAAAATATGGCATAGTTCAGTACTATTTAGTCATTACAGGCTTGGGTGAGGAATGTGAAATTTTACAAATATTTGGTGACCTCGATAGCACCTTGATATTACAAAGTGTGCATGCTTTTACTAGTAGGGAACTGGATTTATTAAACTATCATTCCAAAGTTCACTCATTAGCACTTTTTAGTTTTTAGTCACAAACAATGTCAAGCAAAGCTCAGCTTAGACACTTTTTATGGAAATATTTGTGTTACGACACCGTCGAATCATGCGCTTGTCAGTTTTTGGGCATATAAAGTTATTGGTATAATCTTAAAGATTGATCATTTGCCTTGCTTTCAATGAAAACAGTAGGCATCTATCTTGAATAGAAGTCGAGATGTTTGTGATTTAGGAGTTAGGGGTCGCCTGGTTTCAGAGGTAAATTGGTTGCCAAAAACTGGTGACTTCCAAAGTTCGAGAGTGCTTGGAAACAGAAATTTTACATTTGTTGTGCCTCTAATCAATGTTTTTTTCAGTGTAAAGTCCACATAGAAATATGTTTTTAAATGGTCATAAAAGGTGTTGAGTGACAAAAAAGGCTGTGGATATGCCTACAGCCCTCCCTCCATATGGCCCTCTAAAGTATAGATTTAGATCTTATTAAGTATGCTCACCACCTTAATAATCACTCAGCTAGACCGCGTCACTTTATCGATCGATATCATGGCTAAGAGATGCTCTACGAGGTCTAGAAAACTTGCAAAGTCATTGGTCACTATAACTTTGACCTGTAATTTACTACGTCATTTTCCATAAGGAATACTGAAATTTTCTATTGAAAAAGGTCAATGTGTCTATGCCCTTTATATAGGGCCTGCGCGCTTCCTGGTCGAAGTAGGTCAGCCCTATATATAGGGCCTGTGTGCTTCCCGGGTGGCCCGGCTCACGCTCTTTGTATAGGGCCTGCGCGTTTCCAGGGTTAAGTTAACCACTTGTAGTTTATGTGCCGCCTACAACGCCTAGCTTATTATGTGAAGTGGAGGGCTGTATAAATAGCCTTGATGCTGTGCATACAGGAGCCGTACGAATAGCCACTTTGAATTTTTTTAATCTGTAAAGATTGCCAAACCAGCTGAAAATTCCTGTGTCTTTAATTTCATTATTTTGAAGAGTGGCTGATTTCACAACTAGATCTATGCCTCACATTTCACTTTGAAAATTTGGGTACTAAGCAAGATCCCCTGCCTTTTGACTGATAGGCCAGAAGGCTTGATGGGAGAAAGTACACGATAGAAGCGTGGATGGATGGCTGAAATTGACCATAATTTGATGCTTTGCAATTAGGTTTGATAGGTTATCTCTCCATATCGGCACGCGCATCAAAAAGAAATCGTTTCAGAAGTAATCGTTGGTGGGGTCAAAACTAGTATCCCCAAAACGGGACCCACATTCTAAAGTAGTATACCAGTCACTGTCAGGGATTTGGGTTGTGGTGGAAAACTGTCACGACATCAAGAATTGATCTTGTAGGTTAGGGTTATTTCTTAAGTTGACCAGGACAACCAGGACAACCAGGTCAGCCAGGGGCTTTAATAATCGAAGTGGCTATTCGCACACAAACTTCAATATATATGGCATGCTAGAATTTATGTTTTTCATGTATCGATTTAGCATGACTTATTTAAATTGCTTGATGATTATCCAAACTGACTCTTCTGCTGTCATTTTAATATAGTTTTAAAATCTAATTTGCATTTTATTTGTCCCCACAAATTACAATTTTTATGATTTTACTAACACTTTGAGCTGATACCCCTGCTTCAGACTGTAGAAGGATTGTTACAAGTTATGTAACACATGCATGTGTATTGCTTTACCCTGATTTAATTTTAACATCATGTAAAGTATGCTGTTGGAAAAGCTTTCCCTTTAGACCACTATTACTTTGAATGAATGACCTTTGTTCCCTTTGAAAAGGTTTTAACTTTTCTCTTTTTAATTTTTAATTGAATTTCCAACTGGTCAATGATTTTGTATTTCTCGTCAAATAAACTTTGTTTAGACTACCTATTGATAGTTATTTAATCCTTTGTTGTTCTGAATCTTTGATTTCCAAGTTTTTCACTGCTTTTCAGCTCAGATTGCCGTTTCCCTGTTTGCCTTTGTTGCCCAGTCTAGTATAATTTCAGATTTTGCAACTGTTGTTCACTTTTGACGTCACAAAGTTATACTTTTCTTAATCTGTGTCAAAAGATTTGGCCAGATCGTAAAAACCGAGGAAGGCCAAGGTCGTAATGCCTGTCCGCTTCATATCAAGTAGCCTACACCTATACCCGGTGATTACGCGCGTGCAGTGGAGTTTGAGTCCGAATAGCTGCGGCCTTTACCAATTTGGCTGGATTGAACTTTGGTGGACCCACTGTCCACTGTTTATATATTGTAAATGCACACTAGCCATAACAACAGTGGGGAGTTTCAGCGGGGCTTGCCCTCCTGACTGCCAGTGGGGGGTTTCACTTGCCCCCATCCCCCCCCCCCCCCCCCCCCGGGAAACAATATAATTTTTTTTTTAAAGAAATAAATGCAAAACAATAACATAAGGAATAAGGGCGGACCATTGCTGCATGCACAGCTAGGCTCAAAAGTAGTTCCGGCTTCGTTCAGTGTTGGGTCCACCAAATTTCAATCTTACCAATAATTTTTTCAACTTTTGCAGAGGTTGAGAGTTCAAAAAGTAAGAGTGATAAGTTGATGCAGTCACAATTTGATAGCCCAGTGCGGAGGGTTAATTTGTACACACATGAACATACAAGAGCAATTTGCAGAGAATGGGAAGGAGAATAAAGTAATAAAGAATGAAATTTAGGAAGGCCCTGCTTCATGCAATGGTCCCTTGAAATAACAATGAATTCTACTTACTAAGCCCTTTGGTTTTGATCATATCGAGCCTCCCATCCCGGGGGCAAAGGAGGAATCCATTTTTGTATACCTGCCATGGCTGATTACAACTGCTGTTTATGTTGATGAGTGTCGAAATGACGAAAATTTCCCATGTCGAAATACTCCTGAAAACTGTAACTCTTTGTGGAAAAGAGTTCAATGTTATTATTATTATTGTTGAACGCAGGAAGAAAGTGTTTGGGTGTTTTGAAAGGTTATTTATAGCCTACGTATTAAAGCCTTCAAGCGTCATTCATTATCCAAACTCTAAGGCTTGGTTAAATATTTAGAAGTTAAAGGCGAGTAAAGAGGAAGGGCATCATTGATAACAGGAATCAACAATAATATCGTAAGCTCTAATTGTAATATAATATAATGAATAAAGTTCAATGCGAGAGAGGTAGTGTACGAGTCGTAGGGGAAATAACTGCCATTCTACCAGACACCACGTAAACTAAACAAAGTGGGGTATCATAATAATGTGTCTCCAAATCAGATGGTAAAAATCAAAATGTTTATCTTTGTATTGTATTTTCAAATAACATGTAATAAATATTTTAGCCAAGGTAGATTTAAGAGCAAGTGTTTTTAATTCAGTATGTGTGTGCTCTTGTCATAAAGAATTGAAACGACAGGATGGAAAAAGCAGTCAAAATAAAATCTAAGGCTAAGGCCACCTCTAAATAGAGTTTCATTAGTAATTCATTAGTTCATTAGTGAGAATAGAGCAGGCGAGTCGGTCATCTTGTAGTTTCGTTCGTTTAAGTCCAAGATCCATTTGTTTACATCCAGAGATGAAATCCAGAAGTCTTGAAGACCAAATACTATTTGAATTAGGCTACACAAAGAGCAGGGATGCAACCTAACTGCAAAACATCAAATTAGGATAAAATTCAGGGGGGCATGCCCCCCTGTACCCCCCCTACTCTTGACTTTAACGAACGAAACTACAAAATCGCCGGCGAGTCTTGTGGCTATTCTCACCCGGTGCGCGTTCACCAAATTTTGCGTTCACCCTAAACCACAGAATTCTATACTGTGATAACGAATAACAGAAAAATTGTAGAATTCTGTGCCGTGAACAAACGTTCCATTACAACTGTAGCCTACTAAAAGCGTACAATTTTGTCTGTGGGCAGTGGAGAAAGAGAGAGAGGAGTAGCGCGAGAATTTCCGGGCAAAACAAAATGGCGACCCGCGTAGTTCGGCTCGATTAGAAAAGTTAAATAGCCGTAGCATCTTTGTAGACAACCTAATTTATTTACTTTTGTGTTTTAACATCATTTTTTAACTTTGTTTTGGTCAATTTGATCGTCCACACCGATAGACAGTATTCAGAAAGAGACAGAGAGAGAGAGAAGAGGGGAGGAGTTGATCTTGCGAGAACTTCCGGGCGGGTGAGAATAGCCACTTTCAAAATCTAAACAGTGGGGTAGGCCTAGGAGTGGCTGTAACAGGGAGCGACCACTGTGCATAGAGGGTTTGGGTTAGGGGTAGATCTAGATTCTTGGGGTAAAGGGTAGGGGTAGGCGAGGGTTGGGTTAGGGTTAGGTCTCTTCAACTGTCTTCTTGGTGATTTTGTAGACACCCATTTGTTAAAGTCCACAATCAATTTGTTCACATCCAGAACAGGAATGCCAGACAGGACATAAACAATAGAGTGAAGACAATTTTCTCGAAAATCAGGGCAACTGCACGGAACTGCGATTGTGGAAGGGTTGTAGGGTATTGCCCGAGGGATGTTCAAATTAATATAAATATTTTTATAATCTTGCGTCTTACGTCTGGAATGACGTAGCAATGCCCACCGAGCGCGTTTTGTTCTGCCGATTTTTGGCCCCCGCCGCGGGGGTGTTTCATGGGAAGAACTAACGCAAAGGTTGTTGTCTTCAACTCGCTCTCACGTCGCTTCTTGTGAATGGATATGAATGAAATTTGGCAGCCAATCAGAAAAGAGGTCAATCTCGTAGTAATGCAGTTTGACAAATTTGTACCCATCCAAGAAGCAGTCGAAAACGTTGGCGAAAGTGGTTGATGTGCTGCGCTTTGAAGATTTTTCGGGGCTGTGATTTGTCAAACTGACTGATACGTTGTACACCATTTTTCTTTCCCTTAAAATTTCATGCTTCTATGTTTAGCGGTTTTTGCGTAATCTTTAAAAATGTGGGAGTAACTAAGGGAAAAGCGGCATTGCCATTTTTGCACGTGCTGGGTGAACGACCAACGGCTGGGAAATTTCCGCTGAGAGTGACGTCATCAGCCATCGGTCGCCTCGGGCGCTACGAACGAGGCCCCGCTTATGTGGGAAGATAGTCCCGTTTATTCATTGTTATCGTTCACGCGTGCGTACGTGAGTGCCCGCGCGTGCATCATGTGTGTGTGTGTGTGTGTGTGTGTGTGTGCAGACCTGCCACTCATCCCGATTTAGTCAGGAATATCCCGATCTTTTGCCCCAAATCTCAAGCATCCCGATTTTCCCAATTTCCATCGTGTGTATCCCGATGTTTTGTCCCAGTCTGCTGTTCTGTTGTATTTTTCTAAAAACTTACTCTGCCTTCTCCTTTATCGCGGGAAGCACCCGTTGACCTTTTTGTCAGTAGAAACTCGGAGCACTATTTCCCGAAATATCGATGCCGCATTTAGTAGTTGACTCGCCCCAAGTTGTGTGTGATCTTTGCCCACACTCAGAATTCTCCGATGATAGCCTGGTAACTGTTACAATTTGGGACATACAAATAATCGATAATATTCGTAGTTCCGCTGTTACTTTCAAAACAAGCCTTGTCCGGGGTCTGGTAACTGCGCGTTACATCAAACACTCGGACGAGCGACCCTTACATAACTACATCTGCGCTGACAAGACTAACATACGGCCGTTGTCGTTGCTTTAGTCTGAACGCATTATGAGGGATAAGAGATTTGTTGGTACCATTGGTCGGTCGGCCTCCGTCATTATCCTAGAGTACTAGAAGTAGAAGTAGAACGACTGTCGCTCATCCGAGTGTTTTGTGTGAACGCGCAGTTAGTCGGACCCGTTAGTAAAATTGTTTTAATCGCGCATTCGTGTCACGCGACATATCATCGCCGTGTGAGTTCTGCGTGTCGGGGACCGTCCGTTGATGGGGTCAACTTAAGTTCATGTATTTCGGGACTTATTAGTGGGGTGGAAGGGGGGGGGGATATTGACACTTGGACTAGGAGTGCTTGAAGGGATGTTTCAGGATTTACAAAAAATAATAACTCGCACACACACGCGCGCGCGCGCACGCGCGTGTTTGCGCACGCAAACAAACAAAGACACTCAAAGTGCATATGCCAAGTAATTTATGGACACCCCTGGAAAAATATTAAGTCAGCTTTCGCAGTCACGTTGGTGATTTGCTGTTGATCCCGATTTTTTTCACCTAATCCCGATTTTTTCTCCCTGAGATCCTGATTTTGAGGTTTCATAGAGTGGCAGGTCTGGTGTGTGTGTGTGTGTGTGTGTGAGAGAGAGAGTTGTAGCCTACAATGCGAAATGTTCCCAGGACTTGTAAACTATAATAATATTATCTTAACGCATCTCAATCTACCACACAATAGGACGCTGTCCAACAATGGATATACAGAGACGATGATCTATTTTCTATTACAAAGTGTGCATGCTTTTACTAGTAGAGAACTGGATTTATTAAACTAATAAATCCAGCTCTCTACTTAAATTTTTGTGACAAATTGGTCCAGAGCATTGCTTAGCAAGGAGGAATCTTTTACGTTGCCAAGTTTCATTCAAATATCATGACTTTGGGAGAAGAATATATGACTGATAATCTTTGTAAATCTGTGAAGAACGCCCCTTTTTTTACCTGTAAATGTCTTTACAACTCAAAAAGTAGGATAGATATTAAAAATCTGACCGCATGACTAGATTCTGCATTAAAAACTGTACTAGACTGCCAAGTTTCATTTACACACTCCAAGAAATAGGCGAGCTATGACAAATATTGTCTCAAAACCCACCGAAAACCGCCACATTTTTACCTATAAATGTCTTCATAACTCAAAAAGTAAGATAGCTATAAAAAATCTGAAAGCAGGACTAGATTCTACACTAGAAAATGTACTGGGCTGCCAAGTTTAATTTAAATACTCCGAGAAATGAGTGAGTTATGACGAATATTGTCTCAAAACTCATCAAAGAACGTCCCATATTTTGGGGGTTTTTCATTATGTAAAAGTCTATAAAATATTAATTGTTAAAAAATTCGTAACATTTTTGTTTATTGATGGATTTCAAAAATTCAAAAAGTTCCATGCTCTGTGGATATACAGCTTCAAAACGCACATATTTGCAAACACTTTCAGACAAAAAAAAGGTTTTTCGTGGTCATTGCTAAATGACGGGGGGAGGGGTAAAAGCTTCGGTTAGAAAAGTGTACAAAAAAAGGGGGGGGGGGTCTTGAACCAATGTAATATTACACCTTTTTACGGTCCCGAGGTGCTGACATTCGACTTTAACAGAATTCTCACGCTTAGATCTAGTTCACGATTACCTGCCGCTTCAGGGTCTCTGGCGTACTGGCTCATTATGAATCTACAGTAACATGATGCCATAAGATCTAGATCTAATTCATGTTTTGTCGCTGCCACAAGCAACCCTCAAGGTGCAAATTTTAAAAAAAAATTTGTTTCTGTATTGAATGCTACAAAATTTCATCTGTAAAATAAAAATTGTTGATTTTACAGACCAGGGAAACTTATTTCTGTGACAGACCTGGTGTATATGCTAAAATTCTTTTCAACAGACGTGATTCACCTCGTATCCTACTCACCGCACAACAATTGTTCCTTACTGACGGCCGTTTGCCTCGGTGGTCGCAAAATGCAGACGACTCTGTGGCAGGAAAACCAGACCATATGGCAGTCCTTCATGTCAAAGGTCAACCATGCTATCGTGTACTTGGACACTGGTATGGCGGAGCTACTCCACTGGTCTGGGGGTATCGGGTTACTCCTGGCAGCTGGTGCTGACGACGTCCGGGAATTCTCTTCCTTTGAGGTATGGCAGAATTTGGATTATAAGATTTGTTTTTCATAATAATCTGATACTCACTATAGAATAATTTTTATAATAGATCAAATTCCAGTTTTATTTACCCCTGTTGGAAAATTTTGGCGTCAATGGCAGAACTTATTATATTATACTATGCACGGTACATAGACACAAATAGGGTCTATAAATACAGGCACGTATACATAGAAGATCTGCATGATGCTTGTACATACTGAGACATAGAGATATGCTACAAACACATCAGTGCTGGTCACCACTGTGCAGCGCCCTGGTTTTTTTTAGTGAGCAAGGGTTACCATGTCTTGCTCAAGTGCACACCCTAATGACCACCCATTCTGAATCCTGTGACACTAACTACCATAAAATTGGTCACTTTTAAACACAAGGGGGCTATCCCGAAAAATACTGTTTTGAGAAAATCGAAGGTAAAATTTTTGCCCTTTGTTCAGTTTCTTTAAAACAGACATGGAGAGTTTTCTCTATAATCGAAAAAATATACACATCAATAATAACAAACTTCTCCAATAGGTAGGGCAATGCCCACTTTTGGTGTAGGTCAAGATTTTTTTAAACTCCTGAAATCAGGGTTAGCCCGCTTGTCCTTGAAAGTGACCAATTACAAAGCTCTATCTGTTCAGTACCTAGTTTTGAGAAATTTGCCGTACGTAAAAAATTAAGAGTTTCTTAACATATCAAATGAATGCACTGTGTTAGAATATCTTGATAACAACTCTGAATAATCTTTCGATTTTGATAGAGCAGTCTATAGAACATTTTCAAAAATGTCAGACAGAACTTTGTAATTTTAAGGTAGCGATTTGCTTGACATTAATTGTGGGTCTGAACTCACTAACTTCTCTTTTATTATAATTGAAGTTGTCCGAGACGGCCATGCACTGTAGAGGAGAAAAGCGGTTGTCATAGACGAGTGGATTATTGGACGGTGTCATAATATTAAATGTGTCATGACCCGTTGGAATCCGGCGCTCGTCGTTTTTGGGGCTTATGGAGTTATTGGTTTATTCTTAAAGCCTGTTATTTTTGCCTTGCTTTTGATGACACTCCCCCCCCCCCCCCAATCTGTCTAGAATAGAAGTCTACACAATTGAAGGAGGTAGCAAGAACTACCAAACTGGAAATGTTGAATGTGTGTCCTGTACGCTCATAAGACCTTATGCAGCTGGGAGCGCCATAACACCCCCCCCCCCAAAAAAAAAAAAGATTGCAAAGCACATAAAGCTTGCTGTTGAGTGGGAATCTATGCTATACAAATGCTATCTTTTATGATGATGATTATTATTATTAGTTATCGTTATCGCTTCCCCTCCTTTTTTTTTTTTTTGTTAGTCCTTAGTAGCACCTCTAATTTTCTGCACTTAGAAATGACCTAATTGTGTTGCAATTGCCTTAAAATTTTTACTGAAACCAATTTTGTAACATAATGTATCGCTCTTATTTTTTCTTTAGGGAGCGAGTGAGAACCACCAGAAGGGGGTGTTCGTTGTGAGTTCTCCGTTACTCGGGGTTACAGAAGAAATCATACGGGATGTTGTCACTCAAAGCCGGTTCCAGTATGTGGTTGTCATGACGACTGTGAGCCCCTTGTTACACGTGGACAGTGCGGCCCAAGACACGGAGGGGGACGGTGTGTTTGAAGAGTTTGAGGAGAAAGTCTTGGAGTGGATGGGCAACATGGTGGGTGCCTTATGCTTGACAGTATGTAAGGAAGTGTTTTAGCGCCTGTAAATGACAGCTTTCTCTGTATGCTTCCCAGGAAGTTGAGATTGTTTCAGACTGCTATCCGGTCTGCTATGGTAATAATATACGAGAGAGCTTGCTGTTGAGCGGGAATCTTCGCTATACAAATTATGTTATCTTCTATTCTTAATGCTCTTGTGGTTGGTGTGAAGATTTTTTTCTTATTTTTTAGAATCTCACTTTAAAATCTTGGTTCCCTAACTTTCGTGGTGGGAGTTCTCTGTTTTTAAACTATTTATCTCCTTGGTTCGACACTGATGCAAAAGTTGTTAATTAATTAGTAGGTGTTACGGAAAAGCCTTTTCGAGTTCTTGTTTTTCATTATGTTTTGATACGTTGTGGGTTTGTTTATATGTACTTGCCTTTTAAAAATGTTATGGGTCTTGTTAAAAAATAGAAATGGTTGTAGAACTTAGATTGACTCGACACTGATTCAGAAGTTATTAATTTAAAAGCGGAAGGTATTACAGAAAAGATCTTTGAAGTTCTTGTTTTTGGTTGTACAGTTTTATTTCTCTTCTTCACAGAACTACACGGCAGAGGTGGTACACCTCCCTCTGTTCAGCGCAGTCGTCTGTCAGGAACTGTTTCTGGCACCGACATTCTCCTCACTCTTCCCTCTGACGGCCGCCGACGTGAACCAGATCTCTTACCAATACAACGCCACACGGCATGGGAAGGTAAAGAACTGAGAGTCACTCTGTAAATTTTTTTTTTAATGTAGGTGTTTTTTTACGCCCCCATCTACACAATTTAGACCATTTAAATATAAGAATAATATCAGATTGGAGTAATATAATGCTCTATCCAATACAAGTATATAAGTGGGCTTCAGACCCTGACTGAGAGGGATACGACATCCCAGCAGAAAGACTGAGAAACTCGATGAAAATTTTCTCCCTAATCGGGAATTCAACTCAAGACCTCCTGCGTGTGACAATGAAGTACGTGACCACTACACCGCAGACACCTGTTGAGAGGCTTTTAGAGAAAGACCTTTTAAAATAAGATTTAGAAAATTGTCTTTCGATAATTTTGCCGTCTGAGGGCAGTGACATAGACTATGATAGATACTCATGTGATGGTTTTTCGAAAAAAAATTTTAAGTTTTGCTGCTTAGTCTGTCTAAAGTCATGAATGCTTCTAAATTCTAAACATGATTGTATGAAAAATGTAGAGATGCGTCACTCTATCATGAACAATGGGATTGAGATCAGTGACTTCCGTAGCTTTACTACTTTGAGAACTGCTAATTCAAATATAGATATATGTGAGGCAACGTGGTGAAATCAGGCACTCGCCAAAAAAAGAAATAACGAACCGGCATTTTTCTACCCGTTTTGCAATTTTTGAACAGATTTTTATTTTTGGCTTAACACTTTATATGGCCTTGTAAAAACACAGTTCAGTGTGGATTTTACTTAAAAACGTTGATTAAAGGCACAAAAAATGTAAACTTAGTTTCCAAGTACTCTCAACCTTTGGAAGTCACCACTCTTTGGCAGCCATTTGTTTGCTGATTTTACCTCTGAAACCAGGCAACCCCCACTTCCTTCAGTTGTATTTCTTTCACCTAAAGCAAGAAAAATGAACAAGATCCTAGTTAAAAATGAAATCAATAACTGCACATGCCCTAAAATTTACGAGCGCGTAATTGCACCACATCTTGACACAAGAAGGGGATACAGTAGTCTCCGCCTAAGATCCCGCCGCTTACGATCCCGGTTCGCTTAAGATCCCGTTGTTTTAGGAAAACAGAATTTTTACTATACAAAAGTCACCCCTAAGATCCCGCTCTGATGGTCTACATTCGGCTAAGATCCCGCATTTCAGATCATAATTTGCTAAACAAAACCCCGGGCGGGCACAGCCGATCAACCTAGAGTGAAAAGTTGAGATCAATAAACTGTCCGTCGCGTCAAAGATCAACCACTATCGTGAATGTGATCACATACACGTTGTAAAACTCGATGAAGCGATACAATGTTTGCCCCAGACGGGATCACACCGAGGTGTGAACTGACCGACACGTTTGTTTTCCCCACGCATTGCACTCACACCTGAGCTCGCCACCTAAACTTACATCACTCGCTGGGTGGGTAGGGCCTACACGTTCGCTCCAGGCAGGATCACATCGAACTGTGAACTCTTCCTTGACCATTGCAGCAGTTGTCTCTACTCCCGAATTTTCGAGACAGACTGAATTTTAATTGGTGGGTTCACAACGTAATGGTGTGTAACGACAAAGGTGGTTTGGAAGGGGGGGGGGGACTCGGTCAGAGATGGAAAGCTATACATTTTTGACAGGTAAAGAGGAGGGGCAACTGGATAAGCGTAGATCTTGAGACTCATAATAGGATAATAAGTGAAAATGGCACGCCTCATGCCACTATGCACCGTGATAGGTCATCAAGGTTAACCACTCTTTGCTCGCCATACGTCATAAACCCACCAAGCGGTCACGTCAGTTCATTGTAGAGTGGAGGGAGACCATTTTACCGATTGTGAGCCTTAACATGAGTCACCATAGATTCTTCCCTGGGTTCGTCAGTTAAGATCCCGGTTCGCCTAAGATCCTGCATTTCCTTGCTCCCAAGCACCGGGATCTTAGGCGGAGACTACTGTATTGACAATATTAGTGTAGCAGACTGATAAATCCAAATGATTTGATTTTGTCAGAAACAATCAGGCACGGATGACTCAAACACACTGGGGATTGACAAATTGCTGTCTTTGAATTACAACGTTCTGTCTGACATTTTTGACTGTTTTGAGTTGCTAAGACCTTGAGATAAAAAATAAAATGTTGTATCCTTGCTATCAAAACCATAAGATTATTCGAAGTCGTTATAAAGGTATTTATAAAATTGCATTCGAACAAGCTTGACATAATATGAAACTCATAATCTTTTACGTTAAATTTCTCAAAACTAGGTACTGAGCAGATAGAACTTTGTAATTCTGAGGTTACAAAATGTGTTTTCGACACGTCCATAATTTGGCTAAACCAAATATAGCGAGACATTAAAGAGACATCAGTCGGGGAATAGCAAATTGTAAGACCTTTCTGTGATTTTGAGTGTTTTTTATTGATGTTCTCTGTGCATGATTGTACATTGCTATGCCTTGGGACAGAGGACAGACGTATTTGTAAAACTTCATATTAGAGCTACACTTCTACATCCAAGACCAAACATTGACAACACACCCTATGGAACACTACAGCAACAACAGCTAACCTGCACTTATCACTACATGGCATTGGACAAAAGGGTGAGGTCTCAGCTGTTGCAGGATCGACAACAACAACAACAATAACAACAACAACAACAACAACAACATAAAATCTCATTTTCAATAAAAGTGTACTTCTTTGTCTGCTTTTGATTTTTAGAAAATATCTAAAAGTAATTGTCTCCTGTCTGCTACTGGTTTTCTTAAAACCTCACACTTTTTATTCCTTTTGTTTTTGTCCATTTGCTGTGTAACGTTTGTTCATTTCAGGGATTTTCTGAGATACTATAGATTTCTTATTGTACGACTCCACTCCGCTAAACGCTGTTTTGAAAAGTGAAGTATGGCGGAGTCTTACACTGAGCAGTTAGTATGTTTTCTTTTCTTTCAACACAATTATTTTTCATCCTTTTCAACTTATAGGACAGCAAATCGATACAAAGCCTCGAAGACGTCGAATGCTCTAATTTGCCAGAAGCTCTACAGCAACAAATAAAGGTTTGTACTTGAAAGAAAGCCCTTTGAAGGTCAGAGACATCATAAAATTGAAAGTTTCGGTTTTAAATCTTCTGTCCATTCCTACTTGAGCCCTGACAGAGCTTAATAGTAATTTTGTTGACAGTCTATGACATTAAGTGTTCTGTTGCTGAAAATCATCTTACATTTTGCCTCTTGTATTGTTTGCATTTTGCCATCTAATCTAATCTAATCTTCTTATCTCATCCCATTTCATCTTATCCTATCTTATCTTACCTTATCTTCTCTTCTCTTCTCATCTCTTCTCATCCCTGTTATTTCATCTTATCTCAACTTATCTCATCTCATCTTATCTTTTTTTTGTGTGTTGTCCGTCACGTCCTCAGATGTTGTCGAGCGGTCTCCACGCGCTGCTGCAGGTGCTGGACGTGAGGGAGGACATCTACTCCGTGGGACACACCAGCCGACTCATCGCCACCGAGCTAGAGAGTTACCCCCCTGCAAGGTCTCGGAGAAAAGTAAGATACCTTCGTCAAACCTGCTCTAACGACCTCCACCACCACCTACCCAAGACAATCCACCTGCACAAACAACTATTAATAGTAATAAATAATAAAAAGCTTTTGTATAGCGCATTTCCCGCTCGACAGAAAGCTCTATGCGCTTAACTCTATATCATTACCCCAGCAGACGATAAAACACTCAGAAACGTTGTTTCCCGGGAAGCAGACAGTGCCTTTTCTCGAGCATTTTCCAATATACCTTGGTGAAATCATAACATATAACTTTCCCATGACAGCACTGGCTAGTTGTTAGCTACTCTTGGAGGATTAATATTTGTGTGTTTGTGAGGCATCGTGGCGAAATCAGGCGCTCGTCAAAATATCGAATTCGAAGAAACAGGCATTTTTCTGCCTTCTGGGCAATATTTATCGATGATTTCATTTTTTGGGGGCTCAACATCTTCTATGTTCATTTGAAAACACATTTCTAGTTGGAATTTACTGAAAAATGTTGGTTAAAAGTATGAAAAATGTAAATTTGTGGTTTCGAGGTCCGCTAAAGGTTTGGAAATCGCCAAACTTTGGCGGCCATTTTCTCGCTAATTTTACCTCTGAATGCAAGGGACTCTGACCTCCTTCAAAAGCAAGACAAATGAATAAGCTTCAAGGTGATACCAATAACTCCACATAGCCAAAAAATGATGAGCGCCTGATTCCACTGTGTGGTGACACATTTTATAACTTCCTCCTGACACCACAGGCTATTTGTTACAGATGTTTTAAGGATTCATTAATATTTGTTCTTTTTTTTCTTTTTCTTTTTCCTGCAGACGTGTCAGAACCGAGCTTCTATTGTGTTGTTGGACCGCACGCTGGATACAGCGTCTGCCCTCACCCACCAGATGGACACACTGCTGGACAGACTGATGAACACACTGCCCCGGCTGGAAGGACACTCCAGCGACTGCCAAGTTGACATGAGCTCTCTGTGCCAGGTCGACAAGTACGTTATGTTGGGAATTTTGTAGAAAGTAAAACGTTGGTTCTTGTTTCTAGAAAATAGAGCGCGTCTTTGTTTATTCATAACTTTTTGAAAAAAACTATACATTATCAGACACAGAATTAGTCCTTTTCTGCAGTAAATGACAGTGTTGCTGTTTTTTAATAGTTTTAAAGTACAGTCATACCTGTGTTAATGGCCACCTGTATAAGATGACCATCACCTGTACAAATGACCTCTCTCCCCCTGTGTGTTTTAATGTTATGATGATACCATGTAAGAAGTCCATCTGTCTAATGTGACCACTTTTTTTCCTTTCTCCTAGACTGTGGCTGCCTGTCTTAAACAATTCCCACTCTACTTTTGGATATTTTGGGACAGTGAAATGCACCATGCTGTTTGCAGCTTTGCTGATTGGTCCTTTGTGGTTTTTGTCGTTGGTTTGTCTTGAACTTGTATTTTCTTTTCTCCTGGGTTTTTTTTTTTTGTGGGGGTTTTATTTGTTGTATTATGTTTTCTCCAGAGTGGACAGACTTTTATTTCTTTCTCCGGTTTTCTTGCAGGAGTTCGTCAAGTGTTATTTTACCCGGGAGTCTTGCCTCAACTGACAGCTCGAAGCTCCCGTCTCACCTGGTGCCCTTGATTCACAAAAGACAAAAGGTAACAGTAACAGTGGGATCCACCCGTGTGGTTCTTGGGGCCCTGTCCAAGAGACAGGGGAGCAAAGAATAGGACCACTGTATCCGTACTGCGCATGTCGTAGAAGGCGACTAAGGTCGGTTGGACAAAGGGTTAGCAGCCCTTTCCCGTAAAACAAAAAGCAGCCACAAAAATATCAACAGCAAAAACAACACGACCGCCGTTCTGGAAGATGGAGGACCTTCATCACCGAGGAGAGGAGAGAATATGGAGTGTAGAATAAATTGAAAAAGCGGGGACATCATGGAAACAGATAGAAAAGGATGCTCAGGACAGGCTTCGCTGGAGTAATGTTGTTGATGGCCTGTGCTCCACTGGGAGTTAAAAAGGGCAAGAAAGAGAGAACAGTGGGATCATTCCGTGAAAAATAAAACTGCAGTCAGACACTTAATGTGGGTTTGATGACCTGCAGAACAAATTCTTCTAGCAGTGAGAGGGCCAGGTGTTTTTTGGTTGTGTTTTTTTTTTTAATTTTGGGGGAGGGGGCTGGTGGTTAAGTTGTTGCTTTTGTAAAGTTTTAGTAAGAGTTTTATGGCACCTGCAATGCAATTAGGTCATTTAAATGCTGAAGATTCGAGGTGCAATTAGAAAGTAATGTACAAGTAAAAGAAGGAGGGAGGGATAAGGACGATAGATGTTTAATAGGAAAGAAGGTGTAGTTTGCCCCTTCTTTCTTATCAAAAATCTATCGTACTTATCTGTCCTTCTTTTCTGTATGTGTTACTCTCTCGCCGCACCTCTAGTCTTCCGTACATATATAGGACCTAATTGTGTTGCAAATGTCCTAAAAGTGATCTGCAAAAAAAAGTCAGGCTGAAACAAACGACAGACAGTATGAGTATGGCTATTTATTTCTCTAGATGGGGCTGATGGGCGTGAACCGCTAACGTATATATTTAGGACCTAATTGTGTTGCAAATGCCATTAAACTTTTACTTTTAAAAAGAAAAAAGGAAAAAGAAATCAAGCTGAAACAAACAGCAGACAGGCAGAAATTGTCAGAAGTTGTACGAAAAAAGAAATCAAGCCGAGCCATCATACAGGAGACGGAGAAACAGCAGACAGGCAGAAATTGGTTCAAGATTAGTGGGAAAACTTTGACAAAACTCGATGGTGTAGGCTGTCAGAAGTTGAACGAAAAAGAAATCTGGCTGAAACAAACAACAGACAGACAGTATGTTGGTGTTTATTTCCACAGGAAGCGTTTATGGATGAGAACCGCTAACATATATATATATATATATTAAGGACCTAATTGTGTTGAAAATGCCATTAAACTTTTACTTTTTAAATAGTAAAGAGAAAAAAGAGTTCGGGCTGAAACAAACGACAGACAGGCAATGTGACGGTATTTTTTTTTCCCCACAGGAAGCGCTGATGGACGTAAACCGCAAACTGGTGGAGACAGCAGCGTCGGAAAAACTGCCTCTCAATCTGGCGGCCCGCCCGGGTCGGGTGACGGCTGACCAGCTGGACTCTACTCTGGCCTTGTTCTCGTGAGTTCACCTTGTTATTATTGGAGGGGGGGTGGTTCCATTGTTATTAGATCTAATTGAGGGGGGGGGCTCGCTCTCGTGATCTAGAGGTTATGGTGTTCGCCTCTCATTCAATAGGTCCCGAGTTTGAAACCTGATAGTGATGGAAAATTTTCTTCTATAAAATTTGTTCCTTTCACCTCCTTTTACTTATTTGTGAGGCAGCGTGGTGGAATCAGGCTCTCATCAATTTTTGGGCATGTAGAGCAATTGGTATCATCTTAAAGCTTGTTCACTTGTCTCTATTTAGATGGAAAAAATATCCATTTATCTAGAATACAAGTCGAGATATTTGCGAATGAAGGAGGTGGGGGTCACCTGTTGTCAGAGGTAAAATTAGAGAGAAAATGTCCACCAAAGATTAATTATTTCCTTAGCTTAAGAGTCCGTGGTAACTGAAAATTTACATATTTTGTACCTTTAATCAACGTTTTTCAGAAAAATTCACACAGAAATGAGTTCTTTATTTTAATGGGCACGAATGGTGTTGAGCTAAAAAACAAAAATTCCATTAAAATTCACAAACCTACGGAAAAAATGCAAGTTTCTTCATTTTGATTATTTTGACAAGAGCCTGATTCCTCCACGCTGCCTCACATTTATCTATTCAGTCATTAAAAAAACAAAACTGTTGTATGTTCCACTTCACTAATCTTCAGAACTGATGTATGGCCTCTTTGTGTTGCTCATGCTGTAAAACTCGAACTAAAACTTTGAAAATATTCTTCTCCTGCTATAGTGGCAAGTACCCACTGATCAGCAAACACCTGGACACCCTTCAAGTTGCTGCAGCAATGTGCCAGACCTTGCGACACCCGTCGTCCGGTCACCTGGACAGTCAGGTGGCCTTGGAGAAGAACCTGGTGCAGGCCGTGGCGGAGGAAGGGGACGCGACTCCGAGTGGGCTGGCCGTGTTGTACCGAGCCATCGTACAGGAGGCGGAGAAACCGGTCTCGGAGAGGTGAGTGAGGGATGGCTGGCTGGGGAAGTTTGTTTTGTGTCTTGTGTGTTGTGGGGGTGGGGGGGGGGGGGGGTGGAACACATTTTTGCATACTTTTTTTTATAACTTTAAGTTTACGGAGGGTAATATTTTTTTATTTTTTTTAACTCTTAGTATATGGAGGGTAATGATTTGTCTTTTTTTCGTTTAACTCTTAGTATATGGAGAGTAATGATTTGTCTTTTTTTCGTTTAAATCTTAGTATATGGAGGGTAATGATTTGTCTTTTGTGCACAGACAATTTCGTCATCCAAGTTTTCAACCCCACTTCCCTATAACTTCGTCAATAATTTGCCGCTTTGCTTCGCTTAAAATTATCCCCAAACTGAGAAGAAATGAATGATCCACCAAGCAGTAAATATACAGTTTGATTATAGATATGATAGATTTGTTGAGGTGAGTTTTGTTTTGACTGTAAACAACCCAGTGATGCTGTGAGCCAACTAATGTAGCTCGCAGTACACTAAGAGTTAATGCAAGTATTTTTTACTCCTCCATCGACACAATTTGGATCACTTGTGGGTTGGCTATAACGAGCAGGGTCAAAAACTGGCCTCCTAAATGATGTCTAAATTGTGTTGATGATGGTGGCGTACAAACACCTACATTTAAAAAAAGAAACAACTTTCTTGTTACTCTCACATCCCTGAACCCCGTATTCCCATCTTCCTTTCATTTGAGCAGATTTTTTTTCTTTCAGTTATTGTTTTTCGTACTTGGATTTATGTAAAGCGCCAAGAACTTGGCTGTGTCCGCACGGGAGCAGGAGTAGGTACCAGAAACTAAATTTTCAAAGTAGCCGTATACTGTATAGCAAATTTATTCATTTCATATGAACAGCCAATATCTTCTGAGAATCTTAGTATTATTCTTTTACCTCTCAGTCAATTTAAAAGATAGTAGCAGCTGTTTTGATGTATAATCAAATGTTCCGACCTTTGCTAAATGGCTCCAACCAATCACAACTTGTCTGGTCTTGTCTCCACCCAGGAGTCTGAGCCTGGATGACATCCTGTGTTTGCTGACCTTCACCTTCTCTGTGTCTGACGGAGACTGCGGTGATGAGGAAGAGGCCAAGCAGATGAGGGTAGGTCTTTGTTGCTTGTGCTTGGCAGTGTGTGACAATTTGCTCTTCTTTTGTTTCTTTAAAACAGTTTTTAAAAATGTGAGCCGGTCTGAGGAAACCAGGAACATGTCGCTAAACCTCAAACCGAAATATTGGCAAAAATAGTCAGTGTGGTCGATTGTGGTTGATTTAAAGTTATAATTACAGGGGATTCCCTAACCAATTTAGAAAATAATTCACGAGCTGTTTCATATAAAAACCAATTAAAAATATCTTTTCACAATTTGTTTTCCTTTAGTATTCTAACTTTAAAAAGCAATAATTGTGTAACTTTGAACCCGTTTTTCTCAGATAGATATAGGCATTTTCTCAACAAAAGCAAGACAAAAATAAGCAGACTTTAACAATGATACCAATGACTCTGTATGCCCAAAAATTGATGAGTGCCTGATTCCACCGCGTCGTGATTCATTTTTTTTTCCTTCCTATTCAGGAGAAGCTGGTGGAGCTGATTGTGAGAGACGGTGATGACCTCCCTCCTGTTGTGAGACACATAGGTGAGCTGTCCACCAGTTTGTTGGACGTTAGTCTTGTTTTTGTCTGGCTTTTATTGGGATTTAGTCTTGCTTTTATCGGGCTTTTGTTGGACTTTAGTCTTGCTTTTGTCTGGCTTTAGTCTTGTTTTTGTCGGGCTTTAGTCTTGTTTTTGTCGGGCTTTAGTTGGGTTTTTTTCGGGCTTTAGTCTTGCTTTTGTCTGGCTTTAGTCAATAAACAGCTGGAAAGAACAATTGTGGCGACAGAGTTGTGGTTCATAAGACACATGCTACGTATCCCATGGACAGCAAGAAAAACAAATGAAAAAGTATTGGTTAAAGCAAATTGTAGAAGACAGCTTATGACGAATATAAGAAAGCGACAGGCAAAGTTCTTCGTACTCACAATGCGGAAAGAAGCATTGGAGAATATTGTTACAACAGGCGAGTTTGATGGAAAGAGAGGCAGAGGCAGACAGAGGGAAAAGATACTGGACAAGATGACAACATGGCTAGGAGCAGCAAGAACAACAGACACCATTGCTGCAACGCAAGACAGAGTGAAGTGGAGGTCCATGATCGCCCATGCCAGTCGGCAAGGCACCGGATGATGATGATGAGTCGGCCTTTGGCCTTGCTTTTGTCTGGCTTTTGTCTTTTAACTCTGAAAATTGTCAGCAAGCTGTTCAAAAGTACTGATTAGGGGGCTTTTGTGGCCTAGAGGTTAAGGTGTCCACCTTTTATTCAAAGGTCCTGGGTTCAAATCCGGGTAGCGACGGGAAAAATTTGCTTCTCTCAAATTGACTCCGTTCTCCTCCTTTCCTGCTCTCTATCTATGTTCTGTCGTCTTCTTTCATCTCCACTTTCTTCCCCCACCCCTTCACCTCCTTTGCCCCTTCCTCTGGGCTTCTGACTCTTTCTACTGCTACTCCTTGGCTCCTACTTACTGCTGTCTTTTAGCCTCACCCCTGATCTTCTGGTAGGAAAGATCTACACCTAGTCTTCTCGGACAAGGGCGAAAAATCTCGGAGGTCCCGTGTGCAAGTTGCGCACGTTAAAGATCCCTTGGTGGTCCAAAATCTATAAAAGTAGGCTTCGTTCGCCACCCGAGCAAAATTCAAAATTTCCTACCAACTGAAAATGTTTAATGTGTCCCATGTGCTCATATTGCCTTATGCAGTTGCGAGCGCCGTAAAACACTAACAAAAAAAAAGCCTTGGGCCTCTGGGGTTTCCTGAATGAGGTCACTCTTTACTTGTAGACTGGGCTGCTATTCCAAAATAAAAACTTAAACGTCCATCTGATGTTTTAATTTTGGGTGTCCCTGGCTGGGTTTTGAAAAGGTTGGCAAGCCTGGAAATGCCATGAAAAAAAACACCAAAATAACATTATGGGCACAGTGCATCTGAACAGCTGGCTGATAATGTATTTGTTGCCGAAGAATGAGAGAGAGAGAGAGGACTCAAAGATTTTTGGAAAATTTCATATTTGTCTAGGATTATTTATTTTCTAGTTTATTACATGTATATAAATCAATGTATGGTTGTGAAAACTCTTCTTTATGTGGTTGAACTGGGGTTTTTTTCATTTTACTGTGAAATATTTTATCTTGTGTAGATCGCTTAGTGGTCATGTGGTTGATGTAAAGTGTTAAGAGCTTATACTAGTATTGGTATGGGATAGAGCGCTATTTAAATGCAATCTTGATTCTATTATTATAATATTGTTTTTTTTGTCTCTGTGCCAGTGGGTGACAAAGTCAACGAGAGCATCCTGAGTGACCAGGTGGAGAGTCTGTGGGAGAAACTGCAGGCTGTGGGAGAGGAGAGGAGCAGTATGCAGCAGTTCAGGTAAGGGGGGGGGGAGGGGGGGAACTGGCTCACTGGTGGTTGCTTTGCTTTTGTTTGTTTGTTTGAGTAATGAGAAGCACATCAACACAATAATGTACAACCTTACAAACTTACAAAATTGCTAAATTCCATCTGACATTTTGGTCGTTTTGAGTTACTAAGACCATGAGATCAAACACCAAATGTTCTATCTGCTCTATCAAAGCTGTAAGATGTTTTGGAGTCGTTATCAAGATATTCAAAAAATTGCATTCGAAAAAGCTTGACATGTGAAACTCAAAATTTTTTACACCAAATTTTTCCAAACTAGGTACTGAGCAGATAGAACTTTGTCATTCTGAGGTAGCGAGTCGTCATTTACTACTCGAGAAAAGTAAGACAGACAGACAGAAACAAGAGGGAAATTGAAGAAGTATGACTTGCTAGTGGCACCCTCCTACCACCCACTCACTAATGGTGAGGAGGGCAGACTGAAAGAGGTGGAGAGATGGAGAGAGTGTGAGAGTGTGAGAGAGAGAAAGAGCGGGGGAGGTACGTTTCAAACACGACCCTCAGGCAATAAAAAAAACCACTTGTACAAAAACAAAAAAAAACAAAAAAAACCCGTTTTATTAAAAGTGTAAAAAAAACTTTTAATGTGTGTTTTGGTTTTCCTCTTAATTTTATCAGTGGGGCCCCCTGGTTCGTGGCTGACTCCACCAATGCGACATTTTCTTTTCCCCAGGTCTGTCCTTGACCCTGGAGACATGATGACCCCGGCTCATGTCCGTCCGCTGCTGAGGCGGGTGGTGGAGGCAGTGGTGGACCCTAACAAGCCGGAGCTGGTGGACGTGGAGTGCAAGTCTGGCGGGCTCAAAGATCTCCTCAAGTCAGGCTTTGGGTGAGCACACTTGGAAGTTAACCCTATCCGTACGTCGTGTTTTACTATCGTATCCGTACGGCGTGGGGAACTCTGTGCCATCACTTTCCAAAGAGGAAATTTGCTTGTTAATCCGATCCGTACGCTTTGCATAACAGTCTGTCAAAATGATTTTTTGAGAAATACTGAAAATTTCAAAGAGATCTTCGTACTAGAAGTATTCTAAAATATGAAGAATACAACCCCTGGGGTACAAAATGACCCCAAGGCGTACGGATAGGGTTAACCATTCAACTCCTGGGAAGTTTTCAGGGGCATGCCCCGAAATCCTGGAAAAGAGAGATAATCTGATAATATGAAATGCATACCAGGCAGTGTCTCACATTCGACGATTGAAATGGAATCCAATGCCGCTCTAGGTGTTAAATGGATATTAAGGGGGTGTTACAATGCTTTCTGTCATAAAAATTATATTGTGGCAGGTTGGCGGGTGCTATGGTGTTGTCTGCTCCTTCTTTCCTGGTAAACATCAGTCGTCCTTATCTCCCCTCCTTCTTTTTTGTGTTTGGTACTCTCTTGTAACTCCTCTAATCTTCGGCACTTATATGACCTTTTTGTGTTGCAGGTGCCGTAAAACTCTTATTAAAACAAACATTTCAGTATTTTCCATTACTACCGCAGCACAAGTTTCACCAGCTAGTAAAGGAATAAATAGAAAAGTGTCACAAGTAGCTTTTCTGTCTGTCTGTGTCAGGTCTCGACAATAAGGGTGTTTTTTCTTATCTTATATTTGTTATCTTATGACTGTCTGTACTGTCTGTCTTACTTTTTCCCTGAAGTAAATCTTCGTTGTAAAAATTTCAATGTGTTTCTCTTTTCTCAAAAACCTCCAAATCCTTTTTTTACACCAGCGCAAACAGCTGTGTTTACTTTGTGCTATGGTTCTTTGTGAGTGACAGGTTCTTCACTTTGTTCCATGTGTTCTTTATGTTCTTCGCTGTGTTTACTTTGTGCTATGGTTCTTTGTGAGTGACAGGTTCTTCACTTTGTTCCATGTGTTCTTTATGTTCTTCGCTGTCTGCCATGTGTTGTGAGGTTCTTCACTTTGATGCATGTGTTCTTTATGTTCTTCACTTTATGCCATGTGTTCTTTGTGTGACAGGTTCTTTAAGAGCTCCGGCAAACCCCGTCCCGGCGACGCCCCGCTGTTGGTCCTGTTTGTGGTGGGCGGGGTGACCTCTGGGGAGGTCAAACAGGTCCGGGATCTCTTGGAGAAAGCCAAACCCGGATTGGAGGTTTGTGGGTTTACCTTTACCTTTACCTCTTGGATCTCTGGGAAAGGTGGGTTTTCTCACTATGCTTACTTGAGTGGTTGGCGGGTGCTCTGGTGTGGTTTCCTCCTTCTTTCCTATCAAAGATTTCGTCGCCTCAGGACTATTTTGTCCACAGTGCCTCTTTATTTAAGTAGCCTACAATGGACAAAATAGTTCTTAGGCAACAATTTATCGTCCTTATCTCTCCCCCTTCTTTTTTTTTTTTTTTTTTTTTGTGTGTGTGTGTGTGTTTGTGTTTGTTACTCTCTTGATAACACTTCTAATCTTCAACCTTGTACTTACTCATACTGTGTTGCAATTTTTAAAAAAAAAAATTTTTTTTTAATGTAGGTGTTTATACGCCCTCCCATCAACACAATTTAGATCATTCAGGAGGCGGGCTTCCTACCCTGCCTATGGTTATGAGGGTCGACTCGGGCTGAGGGGGATACAGTATCCCAGCAGAAAGACCGAGATACTCCATAGAAATTGTTCTCCCCACTTAGGAGTTGAACTCGGGTCTTCTGAGTGCAACAATGAATCGCCTTATCGCTATACGGTACTACAGACGCTGGTTGCTGTTGGGATCTAATAGAGGTGCCAATTCTCCTGATAAATCTGATATCCGGAATTCTGAAATCGTCTGCATTTTGATGGATTTTTACATTTTTATAATCTCTTTGTGCATTTTATTTTTATATTGCTTGGTATGTCAAAAATAACATTCATTCGAGATGGTTTAGACAGTATGATGATCAATAATTATTTCTTCCTTGCGTGTGCATTTCGACAGGGTCCGGAAAGTTCAGTATTTTTTGTATCTCCGGTTGGCATCTTTATAGTCACAATGATACATTTCAAACTGTACTATAACACGGAGGGCAAACACAGAAGATTCGTAATCACATCTCCGTCAAACTGTGCCTGCGGGCTCGGGGGGGAGGGTTTTCTTATTTATTTTTGTAAGATATCCCTCGATCTACAGATCCCACGAACTACCGAGGTTGGTCCCAATGATTTTGAGGTATCCGTGTTATACCGTATTTAGCACTTTTTTTTCTCTCTGAAGACAGAAGCAAAGACTTCTCTTTACCTGGGGTGTCCTGGTGCTCATATGTGTGGCATCGTGGTGAAATCGGGCGCTCTTCAAAATGATGAAATCAGGCGCTTTTCAAAATGATGAAATCGAAGAAACAAACATTTCTTCGTCCATGATAGGCAATTTTTATTGACTTTTTCAGAAGTCTTTATTATTATTTTTGTTTGTTTTTGAGGGTTTTTTGTTTTGTTTTGGGTTGTTTTTTTGTTGTTGTTGGGGGGGGGGGGGCTTGACATCTTGTATGACCTTTTAAAAACTTATTTCTATGTGAATCTTACTGAAAAATGCTGATCAAAGCCACATACAATGTAAACCTGTGGTTTCCAAGGACATTTTGGCTTTAGATGTGACCAAACTTTGTTGGCCATTACCTCACTAACTTAATCTGTGACACCAGGCGACCCTTACTTTCTTCAGTTGCAAATATATCTACTTATTTTTTCATGATTTTAGAATACCCATAGTCCATGCACTGGTAAGATATTCTATTTCTTGGCTGTGTAGGCCTGTTTTCATTTTGCTCTTTTTTTTACTTTTATTATGTTGATAAAGGAACCCAATTAAACATATAGGCTATAAAGCTTGTTTTCATTTCAAGGTGTACTTATACTTATATAATTATAATTCTTTTTACGTATTTCTGTCAGTCTCTCAGTTTGTTTGTTTTAGAAAAGAGAAGCACATTGGCACAGTAATGGTCATTTAGTGCTGGGAAAAAGTAAAACAGACGGACAGAAACAACAGAGAGAAAGTAAATAAGTAAAACAGGACCAGTGGGGCCTTCCAACCTCCTGATTAATTTCTCTCGTTCATATTTGTGGCGTAGGTCGCCGAGTGGTAAAGCTACCGACCGGACTCGCAATCGTGAGGTTTGTTGTGGGTTCGGGGGTTCGAGCCACGGGCACGACGTTGTGTCCTTGGGAAAGGCACTTTGCACAAATTTTCCTCACTTCACCCAGGTGGGAATTGGGTATCTGGCCATAGTCAGCAAAAGATCTTGTCAGTATGTTAGTGTTTTAGTGCCTATATATGGCTGCTAGCACTGTATGCTTCCCAGGAAGTTGAGTTTCTTTCAGAATGCTCTCAGGTCTACTTGGGTACCGTAATAGTATACAGATTGTGAAGTGCATAGAGCTTGCTCTTGAGCGGGGATTTGCGCTATACAAATGCTATCTATTATTATTATATCCCCAGGTTTTGATTGGCAGTACGTGTTTGACTAGTCAGGAAGCCACACTCCGCTCTCTGTACGTGAATGATAACGTCAACATAGACATTTCATGAAGGTGACACGTTTGTTTCTGACCTTTGGGCCTTCGTTAGAGTGGAGGAGAAAAAAAAAAAGACAGAACCTATGTTTATTAAATGCTTAACAAATTCATGAGATTTAATTGTTTGGATTGTTTATTTGTTTGTAGTGAAGTGTTTCAGTTCCCTTACTTCATCCAAAACTGGGAATAGTAAGCTGGCACAGTTTGTCAGCAGCTCTCTCCCTTCCTTATGGATGTCGGAGTTTTGTCAAGCATATGTGGAGTGGAGTGGAGATGTCATCATCAATTTAAGGGATGGGAATCCCACTCATAGACTTCGTCAACTATTCCTTTCATTGTGTTTGTTCTAAAACACAAGTTGCTCAAGATTATTCAGGAAATAGGGGAAAAATGGAATTTTTTAATGGGCCTGTCTCGCTTTGTCACGAAATTGTTCCAATATAATCCTTTTAATTGTAAAATGTTGGATTAATACACTCAGCGTACAACAACAATAACAACAACATCAGATCTGATAGTAATATCGCTTTGTATACAACATAAAAAAGTAGAAAATAAGGGCGTCAGGAGAATGGACAGATCCTGTCAACTTGACAATCATAACTGTTGTCTGTCAATGTTTCAGGCTTCTGGAAACAATATCATGGCCACAGTGTGTCATGAAAGGAAAAAACCAACAAGAACAGTTGTAGAATGGTAAATGTTTACATTCCTTTAACACATAGAGGGTCCCTTTCTTTGTACACATTCCATGCAGCCCATCCTCTCCGGGGAATGTTGTCATTCTGTCTTCCCCCCCCCCCCCCAACCACTACTCCCATTCCTCCCCCCCTCCCCAGCTTCCCCCCCCCCCCAGTACTCCCATCGCCCCACTACCCCCCCCCCACTTCTCCCATCACTCCTCCCTCTACTCCCATTTCCCCCCCACCCCTCCACTACTCCCATACAAAACTAAAGACAATGTAGTGCTTAAAAAGAAATACAGGAAAGTAATTTAAATATATACAGTACACAAACGAGATAAAATCATTTAAATATGTACAGTACACACGACACAACAAGATACATTTTCAAACCCCCAAAACATAATCTGTCATGGCGACACGTCAAACAAGTTCCACTGGGAGCGGATCACAACCAAAACTTGGCACTCTCATCTTCTACAATACACAAAATGTACATTGTAAGATTATTACATTATGACACACAGACTGAGCAAACTTTGGTGGAACGTTGCCTATGGCAGTGGAAAGTATATAATAATATTATA